CCCCGAAAGTGGTATCCAGGCAGAATTATAGCCACCTACTACATTTTATGTGTAAACAATGGTTCATTTTGAAACATTAAGCGTGATATGAACAAGCTATAAAAGCTTTATTTGCACATTACATGCTAGTCTTCCTTTTATATAGTACTGAATTTCAGAATGTTTTATTTCCTCAACGTATGTAATGTTATCAAGATGACAAAGAAGCTCCTAAAGCTCATTCTTACAGAAGTGTAAATCTACATGAACAGGACATAAAAACTTGATTACATCCCCAATTGAGTATTTTATCCCAAATAAAAGCATTTTGTTGTTCTTTACACTCAAATGTATATGGCTTTTCCACAAAATTATTGACCAACAGGACTTACTTTCAATTTATATTCCCAAGGAGGGGAGTGAGGGGGAAAAGCAAGATGATTTTTGTTAAAGCAAGTTCATATAGATCTCAATTCACATTTTGAAGGTAACTACTCTTACCATTACAGTATCCTTTCCTCTCAATTTTGGCACTGAGAGATACTGGCCCAGAGGTGAAAAACCAACAGCCAACCATCTTCTCCTGACTTCTTAGAACAGGTGTCTATAAAATACAGAGTATTTTTTATTTTATGGCATAAAGCTATCAATCACTTGCAGTTTAATGTTATGCATATCAGTCGTTGCAATCTAGCTCTAAAATCCACTTAGTTAGAATCACTCAATGCAACTGAGTTTTGCCACCATGTAAAAAGGAACCAATGTTTGGCTATCTGAACACACAGCTGTTTTAAAATCCCAGTCTGCATTTAGACCACATCAGCTAGGTAACACAGAGACCAATGTGCATTTAAATGTAATCTGTCTTCAAAATAATTGATTTAGCAAATTTTGTAGATGTGACTTTTTAAAGGTCTAATGGGAGTACTGTGGTATTTGTGCCCATGTTCCTCAGTGTAGAAGAATGCAGAATTAATTTCACCTGCAAGCAACTAATAGTTAAGCAGGTAAACTGTTTTTACCTTTGCATCCTTCATAAGAAAGGATATATGTATACAGGCTGGGCTAAGGTGATGCATCTTCATAACTTGCAAGCCACACAACCCCCAGAAAATTTAGGCTCATGACGAAAACCATCTGAATTATTCATGGAAGCCTGTCACATTCGATGACATTCACATTGTCTGTAAAATCTTCATTGGAATAAACTTACAACATACAAGTAGACGTTAAGGGTCCAAGCCATGATTCAAGCTACTTAAAATGATTTGCTGGGCACTAGTGTCCAGTTAATATAATTATGAAGTCTAAAATTTGTGTTGTTTTGCACTTTTTTGGTGGTAGCCTTGGAATCCATTAAGACAGGCACTGCCTACTTTATTGCCCTCCCCTGTGCAATAACCTATGGTCTACTCTATCCCTGCAGTATCTGAATATGCTGTCTTCATACTCCTAACACACATTGTTGAATATAAAGACTGTATTCTGCTTACAAATGTCACTGCCAAAAGACTTCTCTAAGTTCTCTCTAGAGAGAAAGATTAAAATGTAAGCATATAAAGAGGAAAAAAATCCCTGCTCAAAACATCTCTTGGTTATGTTCACATCATGATGAAATGTTAAAATTATCCTAGCATTTTAAATAAAATAGAAATTACTCATTCATATTTAAATGAATAACCATTTAGATCCAGTTGCTATCATGAAAGTACAAGGTATAATTTTATATTATTTTCATAATATGGGTTGAGATAAAAGAATCCAGCTCATTAGCTTCCATCTTGCCTATTTTCTCATTACTTAATGCCTGATCTTCCTTATTACTCTACAGTATTTCTAGTGATTATTAGAAACTCAATGCTTTAATGTGGCCAAATCTGTCACAAGGAAATAACTGAAAAGATCTCTGAAGCAGCTGCATGCACGCACTTATGTTAGAAAACGACATGCAAAATGGAAGGATACGTAACATAATGGCCAGAGCATAAATGACAGGCTGGGCATGATTAATACTCTTCCATAATTACTGTTCCTCAACCTACTATTATTGTAGAGTTTAGGACACTGCAGCCCTGTGAATGTAGTTGCTCTGGTAAGAGTAACTACTTTATGCTTGTGCATTATTATTATTAAGCCTTATTTATGCATCTGAAGCCTGCATAACTTTTTGGCAAGAGCATCTCTGCCAGCAGGGATGTAATCAATGGTATTAAAAAAAGCCACTCTGTTTGCTATTCACACAACCTAAGATCATCTATTTATAGAGAAAAGCTTAGGGAGCTTATATGCTTTCAGAAGTCAGAAAATGACACTCCAGAATAACATGGAAATGGTTACGGCTGGATGTGAATGCTTCTTAGAAGTTTTTTTTTTTTTTTGCAGCTGGCTTTAAAGAGGGGAGGAGGAGTGGAGGACCCTCTTACCAATAAAGCTGGTGAGCTGACGTCGATATGGCTAATGACCTGAAGCTCTGTCTGTACACTTTGATCAGGTGCTGCAGGCCTCTCCAGAATTGCTTTCACATAGTACTGAATACTGCCGTATTTCCCAGTAAAAGAGGTCACCAGAGGTCTGAAACAAGCAGTCATAAAAACATTACCGTAAGTTTACAATTCAGTTCCAAACACGAACACTTCCTGTGTACGTAAATGTTTACCAATTTACAGCTTGTACTTTTGGAGCCTTAGGGAAACTCAAGCAAACAAGGCATGCCTATGTGGTGGCTGATTAAGACCAACATATAAAGCTGAGTTTGGTATTAAAAAAAACACAAGTCAAATTACATTAAGTTAATGTTCCACAACAAGCAGCGTCCAGCACAATCCCTTCAGCTTGAATTATTTAACTTACTCTTGAGGGAGTTGAAAGCTGAACGGAAATTCATGTCTTCCATCTAGAAGAATTAAACTTTCCTCACCTGTAGGATAAAAATGAATAGCATGTTTTAGTTATTCCATAAATAGAAGAACAAAGCAGACGCTTTTAGAAATTATTCATTTATAAAAACACACAGATGCAAGGGACTAGGAGAAGTTTTCATTGATTCCAGTGGGTTCTGGATTGGAGCCCATGCTTTATTTATGCTGTGATGTGACTTCAATGAAAAAATCAAGGAAACATGGAGACCCTGAGTTACAGTTCAGAACTCTGGCCAATTTCTAATCCAAAATGGCTTCTGGAAAGCGTAAGTTTGTTTTCAGTGGGACAGCAATTAATCTACTTTTTCAATTAACAATTCAACTAACTTTTGTGCTAAAAAGTTGCAATTTAAGGTCAGTATTATGAAATACTATTAATATATGTATTCTTAATATAGACATAGAGGGCCTACTGTTACGCAATTTTCAAGGCCTAAATTTACTTTTCCTACAGATGAACTTGAGATGAGTTTCATCCTTACAGAACGAAATGCCATTTCCCTTTAATTTTTCAATACTGCCACAGTGCTGCAGTGTCCGAGTAACAAAACTGCCAGCTAGAGACCGAGGCAACAAAGCTTCCTTAAGCCATTGCAAAAGGAGGCCGACTGCTTCTACCGTCTTACACGGGCAGCTTCATAGATGCTGCTTACAGAGGACAATAAACACGAAGGTGTGAGACATAAATCATAGAAAAGCTAACCTCTGCAGGAAACCAAGGCAGAGCGTACGAAACTAAGGGCTGCTGACTTTCTTCCAGCCCTGTTCCGCATTTTTCAGCCGTTTATACAAAGAGCCGAGTGACCACTTGGTGAAGCTGCAGCAAGCCTTCCCTGGGCACACACGTGAAGGCTGTGGCTACACCAGCCAGAGGT